GCAGTCCCTCCTGGCGGAGTGGCAGGGAGCCAATGTCATCGTCTGACTGGCTCCACTGGAGCATGAAGAGATGAAAATTCATCCTAATGGATCCCTGACCTTGCTTTGCTTTGTTTGCTCCAGGAAAGAGGGAAGGAGCAACCCATGCAGGCAAAAGATGCAAGAAACTTTGAGGGAAAGTGAACTCCTCAGTGCTTGTGCTTCTTTTTAGGTTGCTTGTTTCTAAACAATAAATCAAAGGTCAGATCAGTGATGCGCTACTCCCTGCCCATCCTTTGTATGTTTAGAGGGCTCATGGACTTGCCTGGTACCAGTGAGGAGCCACATCCCATGATGTTGTCCACCCCCTCGGCAGCCTGGCGGTTGCTCCCAGCCTGTCCCAGCAGGAGGGAGATGCCAGCTGAGAGCCCTCCGATGTGGCTCCCTGTGGCTTGGTTCACAGTGAGCCGTCAAAAAGGGATCAAATGCTCAGATCCCAGCTGGGGTAAAACGTGCTGCTATTGCTGGCACACCTGACTTGCCTTGGCCTGTGCTCTGAGCCAGCTCGTGGGGAGGGTGTAGCTATGATGACACTGCCCCAAAACTAGGCTAGCAAGTGTTGCTAACTGGCGGATGTGCCCGGCCCATCGCTAGGTAGAGGTGGCCGTGCAACCCTGGGCGAAGCTCGGTGTGCTGTCTGCAGCTCCACAATGCACAGCTGGCTTGCCAGCTCAGCCCAAAGGCTTTGCAAGCCTGTGTGCACTCAGAGCATCTGTCTGCAGGGGATCTGGTGGATGTACGTGCTGGTCAACCGAAGTAGTGCTTGGGATGTCATCCTCCATGCCTGGTTTGTCAGCAGCAGCATGGCTGGTCGGGTAGAAATGGCTGCTACACAATAAATTGCTTGCTCTCCTCTTTCCTCAAGGGTATGCACATTTTTTCAGCATCACTTGTCAGTTTTCTGACATTTTATAATTGTCGGTGACATGGGGAAATAATTTTGAGCAGCACTGCCTCATATTTTGAATACTGGAGCAGAAAAGACAGAGTCACTTTCTACATCACAGTGCTCAACAGGTTTTGCAACTGTTCCTCTCTATGTTCGGCTTGTGCTTTCCCTTTGTGAACTCCTAGCCTTTGCTTGCATTCATTGACTGGGTGTTTGATGAGAGTTTTCGGGAAGATGAGGAGAGCCGTGCTGGTTGGCTTAGCCCAGCATCTTTTCTCTGACCACTGCTGGTTGGAAATGCCTAAGAAAGGAGTCCTGTAGGAACATGGTGCATCCAGAGACAGCCTTCCCTTGGGGCAGCCTCCCAGCTTTGTCTGGGTTGTGCCCATCACACAGAGGTGAGGTGGATGGCCAGTTCAGAGGCTCAGGCCAGCAGCTCGTCCTCAGCAAACCGGTGGCGTGCTGATCTGGGCAGCTGCACGCACAGCAGGGACCACAGACAGCAGCAACAAAATTTCCTCCTTCACATGAAAAGAATAATAATGGAGACAGGGCCAGGAATGAAAAGAACAACAAACACCAGAAAATGTGAGCCTGAAACAGTAGCTGTGGCTGCGGTTCCAGCGGTGTGGTGATTTGCCCCTGTGGGCTCCACTTGCCCTGCGAGCCCCATGGTGGTTCCTCCCCTCGGGGGAGAGGGGACCGAGGGGCTGCGCTGGCTGGGGGGACGCGACAGGACGGGCCTGGAGGGATCCTCCAAAGGGGCAGGAGGTGGGAACAGGCTGGAAAGCTGGACAGGCCCTCAGAGAGTCAGACAGGGCTGAAAATGACTTCACACAGCCTATGCAGTGATGAAGGACATGCAGGCAGTAATTCCCGACCGGTTTTTCAGCCCTATTCAGACACACCCGATGGTGTTGCTCTGCTCCTGCTGCTTGCTGCCCATAATGGCTCCTCCACTGCGTGCGTGCACATACCTTGCTTTCCCTTCCTAAATGGCTTTGGTGGCTTCTCCAAATGACACATGGGTCCAAACACTGGCCCATGGTCCAGGGCAGGAGCCAGTCAGTGCAGATACACCACTAGGACACCTTTGGAGGGAAGGGGTTTGGCCAGCAGGAAAGAAGAAATTTATTCTTAGGAAAAAGCAGGTAGGGTCTCTCATGACCACCCAGCATAAGTATAGGAGTCCAATGTTAAAACTTTGAAAGACCAGTGATTTACAGCTTGCCTGCAATCAGTTATGTGTGCTCAGGGAGAGGAGAGCTGAGCAAAGCCTTACAAGGTGTGAACTTGTAGTTCCAGGCACCAAAAGTGGTGTCAGAAATACTGCAAGGGTTTCACAACTGGGGCTTATAATTGCAGCTTTCCTTACTTTTC